TGGCCTGCACGCCCGTGAGCGGCACCCTACAAACAAAATTGCTTCGCTCGCGGCTCCATTGCTGGCTGGTGTTGCTGCGTGCCCTGCAGTGGCGGCACCCCGACCTGGACAAGAACGTCAAGCCCATGGGGCTGTTCCCCGTTGACGATGCCGACATGTATGGCCACGGCACGCACGTGACAGGCATCATCGGAGGGGTGAGCAGCCGCAGTGAGGCGCCCAGCCCAGCTGGCTGGTTTGGCTGCACAGGGGTGTCGGCTGCGCAGGGATGGCTGGGTGGGGAGGGTGGGGCGGCGCGGGGGCTGGCAGGCTGCAGCTGGCAGGCAGGCTTGCAGCGCGGTGCTGTCTTGGGGCATCTCCGACCCCGCCTCATCCGTCCAACGCGTCCCTCTGCCTACCCCCACCCTTTCGTTCACCGCTACCCTGGCGGCCACCCGCCACCAAACCCCTCGTGCCTGCCCCCGCAGGTGGGCAACAACGGGATCGGCATCGTTGGCACCGTGCCGCGCGCCCGCATCACCGGCTGCCGGGCGCTGGACTCCGACGGCGTCGGCTCCGTGTCCGCGGTGGTGGCCTGCCTGGACCAGTGCAGGTGCGTGCGCGGCTCGTGTGGTGTGTGCCTTGGTGTGGTGGTGGTGCGTGGACTAGCTGGGTGGATCGGCGGCGCGCTCGGGGGGGGGGATGCCTACCGCAGGGGCTGCCCGCCCGCCTGCGAGCCATCAGTGCATCCCGCACACGTGCTCCTGCCTGCGGCTGTCATATACATTGTAGTGTCTGCTCGGCAGGCGCGGTGCACCCCACCCCCCCCACACTTTCCCCCGTCCACCCAGCCCACCCCCTGCCCCTCCTCGCGGCCCCCTGCCGTGCAGGCTGTGGGGCGCCCGCATCATCAATCTGTCTGTGGTGACCACCACACACTTCCAGTCCTTGAACGACACTGTGCGCTCCCTCACCCAGGACGGCGTCTTCCTCAGCTTGTGAGTTTCCCCTCCCCAGCAGCTGCAGTGCTGTGTCGCATGGTGGTGGCGTCGGGGGCACTGGGATGTGCGGGGCTGCGCGGGGCTGGCTGTGTTTGAGGAGGCACTAGTAGGAGTGTGGGAGTAGGGGAGCGTAGGGGCATGGGGGCTGTGGTTTTGAGGGCAGGAGGAGGGGCGGGCGTGGGGATGCGTGCCGCGCTCTGCCGACGTGCACGATGCGTGCCGCGCCGCTGCAGCGCGGCGGGCAACGACGGCGACAGCAACGACGAGTATCCCGTCTACCCGGGCAGCTACGGCCACCGCGGCGCGGTGACGGTCGCCTTTGTGACGCGGCAGCGCAAGCTGGAGGAGCGCAGGTGGGGCGGCGCATGGCGCTGCCTCTGCCGCAGCTGCTGCTGCTGCTGTCGCGTGGTGGTGGCAGCGGTGGTGCCGCCGCCGCTGCTGTTGCTTTGTCCTGCAAGGCAGCGCACCCCGCATGCGCATGATGCTGACACGCCGCCTGCTCCTTACCCCGCCTCGCCCCTGCAGCAACTTTGGGCGGCGCAGCGTGCAGCTGGCGGCCCCCGGGACGGGTATCCTGTCCACGGTACTGCCCGGATACTCCAGCAAGAACTACGACTGCGATGAGGAGCCTAAGAACTGTTGTTCCCCCAAGGACCTGTACTGCTATGAGGATGGGACCTCCATGGCAGCCCCCTTTGTCACAGGCGCCGCCTCCCTGGCGCTGACCGCCTCGGGAGGCAAGCTGACCAATGTGCAGGTGGGGGTGGCGAGCGGGCTGGTGGCGTAGTGCGGTGTGGTGCGTGTGCTGGCCGGCTGGTTGGCGGTGACGTGCTACATGCAACGGCAGCCGCAGCAGCGGCAGTCTGGCTGCAGAGGATATCGCAGCCCTGCAGCGGTGCGCACCCCCGCCCACGCCTGCCTCCCCATCCTCCCTCGTGCTGCCCGCAGCTGGCCAAGCTGCTGGTGTCCACCTCCACCCCCAGCATCTACCTCAAGGGCAGGGTGGTGTCTGGCGGCATCATCAACCTGCAGCAGCTGGTGAGGGAGGCGATACGCAAGTGCCGGCGCGGGCCGACGTGCGCCGTGTGAGGCGCCTACACGTGCCCGCCTTTCCCTGGACGTTACTGGAACGTGTGAGCGGACGCCTATGCTTTACTGATTGGAAATGCATGTAATAATCTGTGGCAAGCATCAATAAATATTTGATTTATTCAAAAACAATTGAAGCGAGGGCTGGCGTGGTGCCTCAGCGCCGCCACCGGCTGAGAGTCCAGGGTGCTGGCGCCTCACCATCGCTACTACACGGCATTTCCACCCCCTCCTGCACGTCCCTGGCCCTGTAACAAGCATGTCTCGCCTGCAATGCAGTCTGCATTGCCGGCAGCGGCAGTGCACAGTGAACACCCTGTTTTAGCCGGGGCGCCGCTCGCCCCATCGCGCTGCGCCGCGCTGAGCTGGTTTTTTCGAGGGCACGCTTCAACCGGCTGATGCGCATCTGCATTGCTATTTGCTACTCAGCAGACACCCGCGCGCTTGGTGTGCTGCAGCTAGCTCCCTCCAAGGTCAACACGATGAGGCGCCAATTCGGAGGCGCCTTCACAGCGCCCGCGAAGGCTCTGCCTAGATATGAAAGCGCCGGGCAGGTCAGTACCTGGGTGCCGCCGGCTGTTGGAGGCTCTTTGGACGCAACGGCAATTGGCATTTGGTGTGTGCAGGGGCGGCCGCGGCACGACATCCATGTTGTGCGGGCGGATGTGAAAGTGGAGCCGTGCGCGAGGGAGCGGCATGTCCAGTTCGTGCAGGCGAGTTGCAACCTGCGGGCGGCCCAGTGATGGCGGCGCCGGCGCTGAGGCTGGCGCGGGGGGGGGGGGGGGGGGGGGGGGGGGGGGG